AAAACCTTTTCCAAAAGATCATTAAACAAAATAACCCATTAGTATTAAAACTGGGATACAGAATAAAAACAAGGGAGTAAAAAAGCCGAGTCAACAAAATGTCATCCAGAGAAATGATTTAAGATATGTTATTGTTAACAGCTGGCTTATCTGTGCCTGTTTCACAAGTATGGGTCATTCATTCAAGTGCGAGACAAACTGAAACCAGAAGCATAAGTGCTCCTACTCCATCCTCCTGATAGAAACCCTTCATCAGCTCTAGAGCATTCATGAGGTAGGATTTAGACCTTCATGACTCCTCCACATTATCTATTGCCTTCCCATTATAATAGGATCTCAACCTAGCCATGTTATCCATTGAAACCCCAAAACCGTTGCTGTTAATTCTGACTCGTGGCAACCCCATATGTGTCAGTAGAGAACTGCACTCTATAGGGTCTTCACTGGCTATAATCTTACAGAAGTAGATTGCCAGATCTTTCTTCCATGGCATCGCTGGATGGATTTAAACCACCAACCTTTCAGTCAGTAGCCAAGTGCAAGCATTTGCACCACCCAGGCTGCCATTAATGATTAATACCTTAATCAGTTGCTATTTTCTCCATGGACTCAGGGCAAAATTTAGGGTTTTCAAGGAGTCAGGGCAGGGACAGAAGAGCAGTGAAGAGAGAATGAATTGACATAATTTAATGTATTTGCAAATGGAATAATCAAGGACTTGATCCTTGGTTAAACTGAATGACTCTATACATTTGTTCTTTCCATTTTCAGAGAGAAAACTGTGCACTAGAGAAACTATACACCTCCTGGTTCTCAGAGTTGGTTGCATTCACCTTACATTGTTCTTAGGTCTCTATACCTGTATCTTAGAAGTTGTCCCAAATAGCCCGTAGTCAGTTTTACCATCTAGTTGCTGGGGGTATTGTATTGGTGCAGCTAAGTAGTGAAAAAGAAAAATGATAGTTATGGAATAGGATATTCTAACTGGGGTCACAGAGTTAAGATTTACAAATATCACAGTGACGTGTTATTTGTACCCATTATCAGTAAGAACTCTGGTGGCACAGTAGTTAAAGCATTTGGCTGCTAACTAAAAGGTTGGTAGTTCAAACCCACAAGCTACTCCATGGAAGAAAGCTAAAGCAGTGTGCTTCTGTAAAGATTTATAGTCTTGAAACTCTACGGGGCAGTTCTACGGTCCTATAGGGTCGTTAAGGAGCTCTGGTAGCATAGTGCCTAAAGCACTTGACTGCTAACCAGAAGGCTGACGGTTCAAACCCAACAGCTACTCCTCAGAAGGAAGATGGGGCAATTTACTTCGGTAGTGATACTGCCTCAGAAACCCAAGGAGGGGTTGCTACGAGTTGGGTCCGACTCAACGGCACATAACAACAACAACAACATAGGGTCGTTATGAGTCAAAATCAACTCAATGGCAGTAGGTTTGGTTTAGGTTTTGGTTTATCATCAGTAAGATGCATAGAAACAGAGGTATTCAAGGATACAGTAACCACAGTGGTATGCAGTGCTAATTGAGATGTGGATATCATAACTAGATTGTAATCTGAAGACTGTAATCAAAGGTCACATATCTAAATAATCCAGGGATGTGGAGATTGTCTATGATGAAAAACACAGTGCTTGCTGTTTAAATTGGGAGATAGTAAAGGTAATGAAATGTGCATCAATAAAAGTGTGTCCAATAACACCAGAAAAAAATGGTATTGTGACTATGACATAGCCAATGGATGTTAGTAATATTCCAAGCCTTGGAGCCTAGCCACGTATGTTTCACAGGTGCATCTCATACATAAATGATTGAAGTTGTTGTTGTTGTTGTTATGTGCCGTCGAGTCAAACCCGACTCATAGCGACCCCTCCTTGGG